ACGTCCCAAAGGATGCGAACGTACAAGTGTCCTTGAGTCAAATAACAATAAAGTTGAGTGATTTTTTCATTAAAATTGATAGTTATTCACAAGAAAGTGCGTGAAAACACATTAAACAGGGTATCCTTCTCAGATATTACTTAAAAATACATCTCAGTAAAAATGAGGGGCATCAGTTTTTAAGTATGACCAGTTTCTGTACATGTATTCACCGAAGTGACTTAAAGTGAGCTGTTTTTGTTACTCGTTTATCTATCTAATCCTGTTTTTCAGTCTTCTAAGAAAGCAATCAGTTGAATTACCATGGTTCCCAGCAGGAGTATCGACGACTACTTGGTGGGGAAATGTGGATAATAAAACAAATTAAAATAAATTATACCAAATATAACTGTAAGCTCAGACTGCTCGGTCAATCCGCCAACTGCCTGATTTCTCACAAACTGGAAGATATGCAAGTGACAAGAGACAAGTTGGCAGAAGAAGCATCCAGCAAAGATAGGACTTCCTTCAGGTGAACATAGATAAAACAGAGGTGATGAAGATTCATGACCAACAATAACAGCGACAACAACAGACAGCAGGCAACAATCAAAATAAATGGGAGAAATATGAAAGAAGCAACCTGATTTACCTACCTAGGAAGCATTGTTTCAACTACAGGTGGACGGAAGTGATAAGGAAATCAAAACGAGAATCGGAAAAGTAAGACAAGCTTTCATTACTCTCAAGTCTGTGTACAGGTCGACAGCACTCAGCATCAAAAATAAGATCCGGCTTTTCAACTCCAATGTGAAGTCAGTGCTACTCACTATACGGATGGGTCAGAGACTTGCACTGCGTGTCATAAAGAGCATCTCAAACAAACTACAGACCTCTATTAGAAGTTGTCTTTGCTCAATACTCAAGATCAGATGGCCGGCCAGAGAAGAACACCAACAGGGATCTCTGGCAGTGAGCGAACCAACCAGGAACCGATTGTGCAACAGATAGGCAGGAAGAAATGGAGATGTAATGGTCATACTCGGAGAAAACCATCAAGTGACATCACACGCCAAGCCATTGCTCGAGTGGAACAAGGCCGAAAGGGAAGCCGTGAGTTGGTCGTTATTTTGAGGGTAACATGGAGGAGGTTATGTGAACAGGAGATGAAAGCATGTGAGCAGACGTGGAGCCAGGTGAAAAAGTTAGCAGAGAACCGATTACAATGGAGACGCGCTTCAGAAGCCCTATGTTCCTCTAGGAATTAAAGGAAATAATAATAATAAATGTAACCTTAATCGTAGCCCTAACCTTAATCCTGACCCTAACTCTAATCTTAACGCTTAATCTAACCTTATTCCTAACCCTAATTATAACGCTCATCGTAATCCTAACCGTAATACCTACGTGATCTGGGTAAAATTTTCGCTTCAGTTGGTGAGTACCGTTTATATTTGTGCTACAATAACGGCAGGTATCGTAAGCCAATGACTAGCTTGCTTGCATCCAAGGTCATTGGAACGTTTGCATCCCTGGGACGCCGTTGTTTAACTTCATCACTCAAACTTCAAAGCTAAAGCTCAAAACTTTTTGTTCCACTCAAAATGCAAAGAAATGAAGAAAACATCAATTATTCAAACGTTTCTATGACGTCATTGTATACTACTGACTGATTCAAATAAGTAGATGAACACCATTCACATTAAAAAGTGGTGCTTGCTAGCCACATACAGGTGATCTAAACAGTGGACGACTGTTTCGCTCATTTGGCACCAAGCTCATCAACGATGTACCACGTCTGACTTAACTCACTACTGGCTTAAATGAGTTTTATTCAACTACTTAAGACAGTCACTTACTAGTATGTTGGCTTTCTTGATTGGCATTTATACTACCAAGCACCAATAATTTTGGTGTAAGAAGTTTGTTCAGGGATGGAAACATTAAAAACCGGGGAGCACTGAACAGCTGTTTCGTCCTATTTTGACACTCCTCATCAATGTGTACGCATTCATTTAGTTTCGGAGCCATAATCTTCGAGTCAGAAGGCAACTTCGTAGCCCATTAAGCCGTTGGGACCCGGCTCAGTAGTTAGCTCGTGAAATTTGACTTCTGTCAATTTGTGATTTTAGGATTTTAGTGGGACTACCAATTTATGTCATCAGCAAGTATTTGTCCTTACTCCTGACTAGGTGAATCCCAGTCGCCGGTTATGACTTCTCACTATAACTCCCAGCAAATTCGTTCTGTAGCCAGTCACTAGGGAGCCTAAGATTGATTCTGTAGCTCCTATAAGGATATAAAGATAGATGAGACATACCTAAGAAGACCAGTGAGAGACATCACACACCAGACCTAAACTCCAGTGGGACCTGAATGGTAAACGATGAGTTGAGAAATAGTTCCAGGGTGATAGGAGATCATAATTAAGAGGAAATGAAACCTTATAAGCAATGGTGTAGCCAGGTGGAAACTACTGCTGAGAACACGGTAAAATGCAGAAGTGTTGCTGAAGCCCTCGGTTTCATAAGGAATCTAAGAGAAAGAGTATTAATAATTATATAAGTGTTACTGTTAATACAATATTTTCTTAGGAAGCGCGTTTATACAGTTGATAAATCGTAAGTAAAATGGAACAGACGACTAGTCAGTAACTGCTATTGTAACAACAGAAGACAAGGGCCAGGCAACAGATCGTTTTATTATGAAAATCAACACGTATTTATACATATTTCACATACATTATTATAGCTTATGCAAGTAGACAAGCGCAGTCATCTGATTGGTTGTTTATCAGAAGTTAGGCAGACAAACGCAGGCTTCTGATTGGTTGTTTCGGGATTCCTCGACAAATGGAGTTCTCTATCTGCGAATCATATTTTGCCACGTTAACTTTGCTGTGATTGGTTGTTGAATCAGCCTTGCTCATATTTTCTCACGGCCTGCTCTTACCACACTATCACTCCAATTGTAATCCATGAAAACCAACTTACTAATGACTGATTACATCGTGAAATCACTGGAGTTTTAGTGATAAGTCATGACAAGTGAGGTTCACTGAGTTGGGTGTTAGGACAAGTACTAACCACTAACATTAAGTGGAGTTGGTGCTATTTGTTATGAACTGATGGCTCGAGTGTTGTGGATTCAATTCCTGGTGGGGTCACAAAACATCTGTTCAGGACTTCCTGCTTTTAAATGCTTCTCAAACAGATAGCACCTAGAGCGCTAGTTTTCTAGCCGGTCCTAAGCCCGGGTAAAGAAGGAGGGTTGGGTGTGGGACTAGAGACCCTACACCATTAAACCGCTAGAGAAACTTCGTGGACACCAATCTTCCAAAGAAAGAAGAAATCTTGAATGCGATCAAGCTACTGAAGTCCTGGAAGGCAGCAGGAACAGACGGCATTCCTCTAGAAGCACTGAAGACGGCCGCAGAGATTACGGCAGATGTGCTCACGCCATTACCGCCAAAGGTTTGGAAAGAAGGAAAGGTGCCTACCGACTGGGAGAAAGACTGGTTCCCACATCAAGCTGCCACAGAAGGGCGCCTTAGGCCTGTGCAAGAAGTGGCGCGGAATCATGCTCTTTTCCACACCAAGTAAAATACTAAGTCACATCATCCTGGAGAGAATAAGGGATGCCCTGGATACAGAACTCTGCCACCCCGAAACAAGCTGTATTCAGGAAAGGCAAATCATGTGGTGATCAAATTGAAACTCTACGCATCATCATCATCATCAAACAAAGCATAGAATGACAGTCAAACTTCTACCTCAATAAATTAATTGACTTCGAAAAGGCCTTCGACAGACAGGGTTATCGAGAAGTAATTTGGAAACTGCTTCAACACTACAGCGTACCTCAAGTCTTTGTCAACCTCATTCAACAGCTATTCGACGATGTCACGTGTCAAGTGATTCAAAACGGAGAACTCGGCAAGGTGTTTGAATTGAATACAGGAGTAAGACAAGACTGGCTTCCTATTATCACTGATGATATTCTTAATTGTGGTGGGCTAGATTATGCGGAAGACTGTTGGAGGCGAGGAGATAGGAGTACTCAGGATCACCAATGAGAAGACTGTAGAAGATCTGGATTTTTGAAGATAATATATGTCTAATGTCACACAAAACTCGAAGACGTGAAGGCGAAAACAAAATTGGCTGAAGAGGCGGCGAAAACAGGATTCCGGGCGAACACACAGAAGACTAAGGTGATGAAAATAACCAGTCAACAGCAACAACAACAACAACCAACATCAATCACCACCAATGGAAGAGACTTAACAGAGGTTACCTCCTTCCTTTCGCTATCTAGGAAGCATCATTTTAACTACAGGCAGTCAGAATGTATGAAGATGTCAAAGCCAGTCAGAGTCGGAAAGCCAAGATACGTCTTCATCATCGTGAAACCAGTTTGGAAATCTTCTACACTCAATAAGCGTAAATAAAAAAAATTCGGATTTTCAACACCAATGTGAAGTTGGTCCTTTCCAATATGGGTCGGAAACTTGTACTGTGTGTCAGTCACCGAAAGGATTTCCAACAAGTTGTAGACGATTATCAACAGTTGCCTTTGCTATATCTCCATAATGAAGAGTGAATGATCGGAAAGGATAAGTAACAAGAAACTCTGACAGCGAACCAACCAACCAACCAACCAACCAACCAAGAGCTGGTCGCTCAAAAAATATGCAGGAGAAAATGAAGATGGATAGGTCATACATTCAGGAGTCCGTTGAAAGGCATCACCACGCAATGCAGGCAATCGCTCGAGTGGAAACCCGGTGGGAAGCAACAAGTGGCATCGTCAGTGCTAGGGTGACATGGAGGGGATCGTGTGAGGAAGTGAGGAGAGAGAGTTTGATCAATTGTAGACCAAGTTGAAGAGGATTAGAACAAAGTGGAGATGTGTTGTTGAAGCCCTATGCTCCATTCGAAACGCAAGGGGATAATATAATGATCTCATTTTAAACCAACAGTTGTCAATAACATCGAAGATATACAGTTCTCATTACTCACCTTATTAAATGTTCGCCAATTTCGATATTTCGCTGGTATTTTAACTGAACAAAAACGATCCAGTGTAATTAAGAATACAGTATACTGACTTGTTAGACACGCTGAAAAATCCAATGTTAACCATAAATCACAAATTAAATGTCCTAATGGCCAATAACCTAATAATTGATATGTAATAAATAAATTCATTGAAAATAATCCAATCAGTACATCAGTCATAGCCAATGATGCAATAAAATAATTACTTGGTACACGTAGAGAACGTTCAACAAAAAATGCTATCAATACAACAATATTACCGACAAGTGTTGCAGTTGAAACAGTCGTTGCTAGAATGGCTATTAAACTTGTTGGGAACGGTGGAAATACACTTTCAAAAGTGTTATTCATTAGCTGTCTCAAGTGGAAATTTACGTGTGGGTAAGTGTGTATATGTGTGTGTATTAGTGTGTGTGTGTGTAAGGGAGTATGTATGTTTATCCTTGAAAAGATTTAATATTGAACATATTTTATATTGCACATTGAATCATTGTTTAAATGAATCTGAAAAGAATGGAAAAAAACAAAGATTTATTACGCAATCGCAATTCATATATGTATATATATATATATATATATATATATATATATATATTTGTATCGGATGATTGGTAGTAGCGGATGGGAAGCCCTGGACTTAGGTACAGTGCTCGTAGACCCTCTTCAACAAGATGTATTTGCCAACGTGAAGGAATTGACAACTGCTCTGTGAGATTCGAACATACACCACCCAGTATTGAAGTTAGAGACGCTACCGCTGAGATATATCGTCAGACGACTGATCTCTTGTTTGGCTGTAATGAGTAAACTGGTTGGTCACTAAGAAGTGACTAGTGTCATGAGTGTAGACCTTGATGCTGGTTTAAATTGCCGGTATACTTTGCTGATGAGTATTGACGGGCTCTAAACCTATGTCCAGGACTTCCTACCAGCCGTCCGACCAACAAAGTTGAGTGAGTCGAGTAGAATATTACTTAGACATATAACTTGGCGAGGAATTTGTACCTATAACTTCATTCCCCACACACTAGATCATATAAACAAAGCCTTATTTGTCTTATTATTTTTTTATTCTTTTACGGTCCTAGTGGAGTGGCTTCAAGCTACAGACTTGGAGTTTCGGATGGATATTTCTAGCCTCAAGCCGAACCTTCCCTCTTTACCAGTCTTATTACTGGCTTGGCAAGTGAGGTGAATGAGTGCGTCGGTGGCAGGGGATCGAACCCGAACCACATGCGGCGTGATTGGCGAGCATCCTACCGTTGTGCCACTAACGCATATGTCTTATGTAATAGCAATCAATCAACATGCATGGGAGATTTCTCAATGAGGATATATCTTACATTTGTCTAAGCGAGATAATTTCCCCTAGAAGTGGCACAGATGAAAGTATCTAAGCCGGTGAAGACTGAATGCTTAATACATATCTACACTCCTCTGAAATCAAGTGCAGTATTTACATTTTCATAACTAGTGTCAAGTCACTTGAAATGTAAAATTTTGATGTGGTTTTGTTCTCTGAGCTGGATGGTTAATCTGTGAAGCTTTCATCACCCTACTGGGTGACATCTTCAGCGCATACTTCAATTCGGAGTATAAAGAAAAAATTGGCTAACGGTGTTACTCTCAAAGTAGAAATTACTAAGTCAGATGAAAACAGCTCAACAGAAGTACTAGACAAATCAAACTACCTGGAAAAGTTTAATGCCCACACACAAATAGGATAATATTCAGCAATTATGAAACCGGTAGACAGTGTGTTGAACAAAGTTAAGAGATTCGCAATAAACCTTAATCCCTGGATGAAACCATTTCTAGCAGAATGTAAATGGTTTAATTTAATTCTCCAAAACCGATAACTTTCATTAGGATGTATGACTTCCCGAAAGTTCGATAATCAGTGTACCCCATTAGACTCACGATTGATTCCATATCTCTACAGGAAATCCACAGTCTAAATATCAGTCTACACCTCATTGGTGGCTACTGTATAAATGTCCTGAGGCTGTACTGAAAGGTCGTATCCAGTGGGGTCAACCCTGTCAAAATGAAGTGGACGTACATCAACGACATTGATTAGGGACAGCACTACATCATGAAGTGACAAAAGTTAGGATTCATACGTCCATGAATCATCACCTAAGTGACCGAATGGCTGATAGGCTTGGCCTAGCAACCTGAAGGTAATGGATTCGATTCCTGAATAGGTCATGCGTTTGTAATGCTGAGGATTCCCAAACTAGGACAAAACAACTAGCTAGTATTCCCTCTGATTTATAAATGTTAGAGATATTCTAACTAGACTGAATAGTTTAAAAGTGAATAGTGAAGAAAAATGGTTAGTTTGGAAGTCATCAATTTGTGTGCACCAATTCCAATGAACACGACTACAGATGCAGATAGAAATGAACTTATTTCTGATCGAGAAATTGGATTTCTAACCAAAGTTCTAGTACAGCTTAGTCTGACTTGTATAGTATTTAAGTTTCAAGGAAAAATATACAAACAAACTGAATGAGTTATCATATATCCGGCCAAGTTAAACTTTAAGCACCGCTAACTAACTACCAATAGAGTGCGACTGCACCAATGACCTTGAAACACTCATTGAACAAGTTAGTGAAACCTGGCAAGTAATGTTGTCATCATCAATAAAATATGCTCATAGAAGTGTTATGCTATTAAATGGTATATCTGGAAAGTTTCAGCTTAGGTTTGGGAAGGGTTAAGTTACTGTTTAGCCTAGGACAAGTTAGGGTTAGGTTAACCTAATAAAGGCGACATCAGGGTTGGTTCGAGTTAGAATACATCTAGTTAAGGGATATTCTCACGGTAGGGCTAGGTTTAGGAAAGATTAGGGTTAATTTTAGGATTAGAAGACCTAAATAATTACATGCATAGAATCTGGTTAAATTACTCTGTTGACATAAGAATACAACTTGTGCTCTGTGGCGGTAGAGTATAATTCCATTGTGGGTAAAATTTATTCTGATGTAGTAATATTTACTGATGACGACGTTTCAGGCACAGTTTATTGCTCAGTGAATATTACTGAATAACACTATGAGACTTTATCAAAATAAACGGCCCACTCAAATCAAATATCGACAATTTCCATTTGTACGTTAGATATGTTGACGACATCTTTATCATCTGTGATGACGGTCACGATCTCAATCAACTACTGCAAATATTCAGCAAATGCCATCCAGCCACAAAGTTCACTCTGGAAACTGAAAATGAATCTAAAATCCCTTTTTTTGATGTTTAGCTTACAAGGAGAGATGACTTGAACTATAAGAAGGTCAATCCACAGGAAACCGACTTGGAACAAACAATTAACAAGTTTCTACAGCTGGGTACCAATCAGTCGGAAAAGAAACCTAATTAAATCTCTTGCCACTCGCGTCAGACGCATCTGCAGCTCCGACACCATGGAAGAAGAACTAAACTTCCTGACAGAAATCTTCATACAAAATGGTTACCCATCAAGGTTCGTAGACAAAACATCAAACAGAAAATCCAAAAGCAAGAGACACCATCCGTGCCAAAAAAGATTCCTTATATGAACCTCAACTTCAAAGGTGACCTACTCATTGACGTCCTCAGAAGGAGAATTTCCACCACTTTAGAAAGAAATTTCCCTGCGGCAACACTAAGAATAGTGTTCTCCAGTCGCCCACTGATCTGCAGAAACCCAAAGGACAAGATTCCGCACATGACCACTTTTATGTGTATATATCAGTTCACCTGTTGCTGTGAAGCCAGGTAAATCGGTCGTTCAACGCGCATCCTGTCAAAAAGGGTCAAAGAACACTATCCAGCGTGGCTACAGAAAGGAAATAATGGCCATAAAAGGAGTGCAATAATCGAACATCTCGTCAACACTGGTCATTCCATCTCAACGAACGCCTCCTTCAAAGTAATCTACAAAGTGAAGAACAACCTTCCAAAGACAGTACGATTCCGTCTTCTTTGCATCGCAGAAGCCCTAGCCATCCAGTCGGAGGAACCAGAACTATGCATACAAAAGAAAATTATCCAACCACTTCTACTCGCATGGTAACTACTCCTTTGATTTGACCTAACTTTTCTTTGTTTGTTTGATTTGACCTTACTTCTGTTTGTATGCTTATTTTTCTAACTTAAAACCCTTGTGTAATTCTGTGTATTATTTTGTTTCCATGTACACCCTTTGAGCACAACTCATTCATCAAACTATTCATGCCATTACGTAACTCTTATTTAACAATCATTTATGATAACTCATCACTTTTGTTATTATCCTCTTATATGAACATCCAATTCACCTGAACTTACTAATTGTATTTTCGTTTGACAAATTTAATGTATATATATATATATATATATATATATATATACACAAAATAACCATATATATTTGCGATTGTACAGCTATGAAAATGAATCCGCCGAAAAGAGACTCTTCGCTGAACTACTTGTCTTCTGTCTACTAATGTTCGAATGGGAATTATTCATGAAATAAATTTTACCCACAATGGAATTATACTCTGTTGATACTCCAACTTAAAACTGAGAGCTATTTTTATTAAATGTGAGGGAAAGATATCCTCTGTAACACTTTTCTACAGTTTTTATTTATATTTTTTTCCTAAATATATGTATCCCATACACAAAAATGCCTCCTTCACGTGATTGGTGCATTGTTCGAGGTCATTCGCTGATTGGTAGTTGGTGGTGCTTAATGTTTAACTTTTCCATTTATCCCTAATTGTTTTTTCTTTTCCTTCACGTTCCTCAGTGGAACATAGGTCTTCAGGCTAGTGGCTTGAAGTTTCTGTAGCAGTGTTTATTTTACAGGATGGGGTTGCTAGCCTTATGCCCAACCTTTCCTCTTTACCAGCATCATTTCTGGTTTAACAAGGTGAAGGAGTGCGTCGGCCGGGGATCGAACCCCGGACCATGTAAATGGTCGGCGAGCGTCCTAACCGCTATGCCACCGACGCACACATCCCTGATTGTGGTAGATATAATTCATTTTTACAAGTGGATAACGGATTGATATTAGTTAGATAACCATTGAAAATCATTGCAAACCAACTATAGAAAACTAATCTAATACTTGCTAGTGACTTGCTACAGGACGGAGTTTCCTGGAATTCTTTCTAGTGAGAAGTCGTGACCAGTGAGGTCCATCCAGTTATGTGTGTGAGGATGGATGTCTCACCGACGACATTAGTTGGTGCCAGTCGCGATAAATTACGAATTGATAGAAGTTAGAATTCATGGGCTGCCCACTGAATCGGGTCCCAGTGACTGAGTGGTATACGAGCTCTCTTTGTAACTGGAAAATCTTGGGTTCGAAACATTCTGTGATGGGTGCGTACTGCCGATGATTCCCAAACTAGGTTGATGAAACGGCACTGTCCAGTAGTCCCTGGTTTTCAATGGTTCTCTAACTGATATCAATCCGGCGCTCTTAACCGCGTTGACTGTCCATTGGATGACAGTCTAGGGGAGAT